CACAGATGCTGCCAGACCTGCTGAGCTTTTCCAGCAACTTTGTTTTTGTTACTTTCTGTTTTAAATTTGTATTTCCAGCATCTGTGGTATTTTACTTATATTTGAGGGGTCAAAGGTGCATCTCCTGCTCCTATATCTTATGTTCTTAATAGACAACGCAAATTCGACAGTCAGACAATCATTGGGGCATAAAAGGAGTCCATTCAGCCCACTGAACTCATACTATCTCTTTTCAGAATAATCTAGTCAATTCTCTAGTCCCTTCCCTCATTCGGTCTCCTTGATCCCCCCAGACATTCCCATCCAGTTTCCCTTTTGAAATTATTGACTGTCTCCTCATCCACTACTTTTCATGGTCAGCCAATTCCAGATCGTTATCACTCATAGAATTATAGAATCCCTACTGTGTGGAAGCATGCCATTGGGCCTATCAAGTCCACACTGACCCTCCAAAGGGCATTCCAACCAGACCCACCTCCCCCATCATCCCTGTGACCCTGTATTTCCCATGGCTGATCCACCCCTAACCTGCATGTTTTTGGACTGTGGGAGGAAACCCACACAGACACAGGGAGAATGTGCAAACTCCACACAGACAGTCACCTGAGGGTAGGATTGAACCCAGGACCCTGGCACTATGAAGCAGCAGTGCTAACCACTGAGCCACTTGTACTGTTAAATTAGTCATCACTTCCACCTGCATCTTTTGCACAGGATCCTGAACTCTATCTACCCCAATCCTCAGCCTGTTAGCCAACAGTGACAGCTCTCTGTGGTTTAGAGGGCATTGCAGAGGGGACAGACAGGATGAAGAAGGTGAGATCCAAACTTGGAACCCGAGCAACTCCAGGCACAGCAGCCAACAGTAGAGTGATACTAACCATCTGAATTGTAGATGAGGCAGAAATTAGAGAGGTGCAGAAATCTCAGAGGATTAGGGCAGCATTGGTGGCTCAGTGGTTAGCACTACTGCCTCATAGCATCAGGGACCCAGGTTCAATTCCACCCTCAGGTGCCCGTCTGTGTGGAGTTTGCACATTCTCCCCATGTCTGTGTTGGTTTCCTCCCACAGTCCAAAGATGCATAGACTAGGTGGATTGGCCATGCTAAATTGCCTGTAGTGTTCAAGGATGTGTAGATTAAGGGGGTGGGATGCTCTGAAGGTCAGTGTGGACTTGTTGGGCCAAAGGGCCTGTTTCCACACTGTAGGGATTCTGTGATGATAGGAGTTAACAATGGGGCATTGGAAGGAGACCACAGAGTAGAAACAAGCACAGGATGAATGTCAAGAAGCATTTTTTGAAAGGTTTGGAGATTGGCTGCGGTCGGCTCATGTGGAAGGAAGGTTGAGACCTAAAAATAGGCCTCGTTAAAATAAAATTACCAGCTATTGCAGCAGGAAGCTGGTAGAGCGGGCACTCAGGTGGGTCACAGGCCTATGTTATAGTAAGGGGCCACACTAGTTTAAGTGCATTGTAACATTATCCTGGCCCAGAATGCTTGCTGAAATACCAGCTCCTGGTGTGGGGTCCTCTCCTTAGCTTTCACTGCCCTTTAAGGGGCGATGCCATTTCTGGTTAGTCTCCAAGGCAGACCCACTTCGATTCTTCTCTTTCTGTATTTTATTGAAATATTTGTGCGCCTTGCCTGAAATGATTTATTTTGTTGTTGTTTGAAGGTGAGAATATGGGAAATCCCCGATGGTGGTCTGAAACGGAATATGACGGAATCTGTTCTCGAACTGTATGGACACAGTCGGAGAGTTGGCCTTATTGAGTGGCACCCCACAACCAATAACATTCTGTTCAGTGCAGGCTACGATTACAAGGTACAGGCATCCACAAGTTGTCTCTCTCTCTATCTCTCTGTCTCACTCTCTCTCTCCCCCATCTCTCTCTCTCTCTCTCCCTATCTCACACTCTGTGTCTCTCCATGTCTCCCTATCTCTGTCTTTCTCTCCCTATGTCACCCTCTGTCTCTTTGTCTCTCTCTCTCTCTCGGTGTGTCTCTCTCTCTGTGTGTCTGTCTCCCTGTCTCTGTCTCTATTTCTGTCTGTGTCTCTGTCTCCCTATCCATGTGCATCTCTCTCTCTGTCTGTCTCGCTCTCTCTCCCTCATCTCTCTCTCCCTCTCTGTGTTTCTCTCTCTCTGTCTCCTTTTCTGCCTCTGTCTCTGTCTCTCTCTCTCTTTGTGTCTCTCACTCTCTTTCTTTCTGTCTGTGTCTCTCTCTCTGTCTGTCTCTCTCTCTCTGTATCTGTCTCTCTCTCTCTATGTCCTCACTGATGTTCTGTGCCACATTGATGACTGAAGGTTGTACAGAGGGAGTGCTGTACTGTCAAAAGAGCTGTCTTTCAGATGAGGCGTTGACTGTCAAAAGAACTGTCTTTCAGATGAGGCGTTAAACAGGAGCCATGTTTGCTCACTCAGTTGGACATGAAAGATTGCGTGGCATTATTTCAAGGGGAGGGTATTCCTCCCTGTGCTTGAGGCAACGTTTATCCTCAACAAATATCACTGAAATCAGACTATGTGCTCATTTGTCACATTGCAGTTTGTGGGAGCTTGCTGTATTCAAATGGGTTGTCATGTTTCCCACAGTACAACAGGAGATCCATTTTAAAAGTATATCCTTGGTTGTAAAGCATTCTGGGACCCCGCTGTTGTATGGGGCACTATATAAATGCGGGTCTTTCTTGCACAAAAGGCTTATCACATCCTCAAGGTCACAGAGTGCTTTACCAACGGATTGTTTGTAAGGCAATATCTCGGTGTAGTACAGTCACCAGGCCCCTGGGGTGCAGCGATGGGAGTTTCACCCCGATGGTATCTGGTGTTGTGCACTGTCTGCAGACACTTCACCCACTCCGCAATAAAATCTGGAAATCCCTGGAGACCCCAGTGGTGTTTCCGAGAGACAAAAGCACCAGCAAGATGACCAACTGTACGTTGATCCCTTCGCAAATGGGAGGAGGCCACAGAGGAAGGTAACACCTCGTTCTGGGGCTCAGGAATGTAAATGTTGCTCATTTGACCCAAGTGTAGCGTATGAAGCCTGCAGATTGGGCCAATGAGAATGTCCTCTGGTGTTTTACTCTGTAAAGTGTTGGACATTTGGAGCGGCATTTGTGGAACCAATTTACTACCCGACCTGGCAAAGCCACAGATTGGTGTGGTAAATGGAAATGGTCCCATTTGTGAGGAAGAGGAAGATCTCCCAATGTTGGCACATCATGGGGTCACAGCAGAGGCAGCTTTCCTCTGACCTGAATCATTATTGATACGATGCCATCGAGTTTGACACCGAGTACAGATTAAAAAAGGAAATCCCCCTTTTGCACCGACGGCTCTCCACCTAGAGCACGTAAACCTCAGAAGATCAGTTTAAAACAAAGCCAGGAAAAGTAAGATGCAATCCTCACTCATTCAGACAATCACTGTGGAAGAGCGGCGAGGCACTGTATGAAAAAGATAAGAGTCAGTCACTAATTCTAACATTGTAACCAACACTGGAAGCGTCTCACGATGCTACCAGATAAATACAGTCTGAGGGAAATCTCGACTGGAAGTAAAACGAGTAGAAAGGAACTTGTGTTTGCCAACTTGTTAAATTCAGGCACTGCATTCATTTATCTGCATGACCAAGTCAATGACCCACAGCTCCAATGTAACTGTGTTATAGAGTCATACAGCACAGAAACAGACCCTTTGGTTCAACTAGTCCACACTGACCATGATCCCAAATTAAACTGGTCCCATCTGCCTGTTCTCAGTCCATATCCCTCCAAACAATTCTCATTTATGTACTTATCCAAATGCCTTTTAAATGTTGTAACTGTACCTGCGTCCATTATTTTCTGTGGAAGTTCATTCCAGACACGAATGAAACTTTGTGTTTAATAAAAAGTCCCCTCATGTCTTTTTTAAATCTTTTGCTTCTTACCTTAAAAATATGTTCCTTAGTCTTGAAATCCCCCAACCTAAGGAAAAGAAACCTGCCATTCACCTTATCCATACCCTTCATGATTTTAAAAATCTCTATAAGGTCACCTCTCAACCTCCTACTCTCCAGTGAAAAAAGTCCCAGCCTATCCAGCCTCTCCCTATAACTCAAACCTTCCATACCCAGCAACATGCTGGTAAATCTCTTCTGAACCCTCTCCAGCTTGATAATATCCTTTGTACAAGAGGGTGACCAGAACTGCACACAGGACTCCAGAAGAGGCCTCACCAACATCCTGTACTACCTCAAAATAACGCCCCAACTCCTATACTCAAAGTCTGAGCAATGAAGGCAAGTGCGCTAAACACCTTCGTAACCATTGTGTCTACCTGTGTTTCTTTCTCCCAGATACTGATCTGGAACCTAGACATTGGCGAGCCTGTGAAGATGATAGACTGTCATACAGATGTCATCCTCTGCATGTCCTTTAATACTGACGGAAGCCTGTTTGCTACTACCTGCAAGGACAAGAAGCTGAGAGTGATCGAACCCCGGTCGGGTAAAGTACTACAGGTAAATAATGATTTATTTTGCCAGCTGGCAGTACAGAACTTGAGTATTTCTCCTGTAATGCGATAGTTGCGTTCTTGTGTGACCTTGCACTATAAAAAAATCGCATGCTAGGGAAATCGCTTTAGAAAATTGCTACACCTGTACAGCAGAAAGTTTGCGTTATCCAAACTGCATCCATTATTCATCAATTGCGTTAAAGCCAATTTGTGTCAACGAAACATGTGTTATGGTGGAACTACCTGTACAACTGAAAAGAAAACACGTGGTTGAAGTTTTAGACATAACACAGTGTGGAGCTGGAGGAACACAGCAGGCCAGGCAGCATCAGAGGAGCAGGAAAGTTGACGTTTCAGAAATTTCTGAAGAAGGATCCCGACCCAAAACGTCAGCTTTCCTGCACCTCTGATGCTGCCTGGCCTGTTGTGTTCCTCCAGGTGTTATCTCAGACCCCAGCATCGGCAGTTCTTACTATGTCTGATATGGTTGAAGTTTTTCATCTTGCATTTGTCAAGATAATTGGCAAGAAATGCCACTGTAAAGGAAGAACAACTTTTGAATAAGATAGGAGGGGCCAGTGTGGAGCTAGACATGTAGTCAGTATTTACTAAACATTGACAGATTATGTCAAACAGGAGATCTGTTTAGCCATCAGTCAAGCTCACAGTGGGGTCCACTTGTCCACACTGGAAGTAACGTATATTTATACACACTGCTCTGTTCTTTGCAGACAGAAAGAACATGTACACAAACATTGCACCTGATTCAACTCAACAAAACAAGCCATTCGCTGGTTCGTTTACTCATTCAATTCCTTGACTAATCACAAGCAACCTGCTTGGTTTAAGTTTAAACAAAGCTCAGCAGGTTAACTATCAGTCATCATCTGTCTGATGCACTGTTCTTTAGAACACCTGTATTATTTGCCAACCAGTCTGCATCGTCTTCTCACACAGGGTTTCCTCTTACTTTGGTATTTCTTGCAAATTCTCCTGATGAGTGCAAGATGAAAAGTATCTTTTCTTCAGCAATACTCAAACTGTATATTTCTCAAAAATCTGAATAGATTTGAAATGGTGCAGATAATGAAATATTGGGTTGTACAAGAGACACTGAAAGTGAAACATGCAGATACAGCAAACAGTTAGGAAGGGAAAAGGATCTTTACAAGATCAATGAAGAATTGCTGCAAAGGTACAGGCTTTTCTATGAGTGCATTGGGAACAATTGATGGCTGTGTCTATGGAAGGATATTCTCACCTTCAATCAGAACAGAGAAGTTTGACAAAATTGATCCCTGGGATGAGAGAATTTGATTTTATTTGACATGATTTATTATCGTCAGGTAGGAAAATGCAATTTGGGTTAAAGGTCAGCCCTGGTCTTATAAAGTGGCAGAGCTGATGTGAAAAGCCATTCGGGCTACACCTGCTTCTGTTTTGAATGGGGTTATTTCTTGGCACCTTGTGATACTTGGTTTTCTCCTGAAAGGACACTTAGTAAGCAAAAGGTAAAAGGGGTTCAATACTTTGTAACTCGTGGTGCGACACATGACAGGGATAATGTGAATGGAGAATATGCAAAGGCCATCACCAAACGGTGAGCTTTCTTCACTCGTTCTAACTTTCCAGTTTTGATCCGACGTATATTGTCAGGTTGAGCAAGTTGGAGCCATCAGCTGCTTCACTGTTTGTCCCCCAGAGACTATTCTATTTATAATTTACAAGGCGCAGTGGCATAATGGTAATTAGTAATGACAGAGAGAGGTTCCCTCTAGCCCATGCACACTAATTGGCGTGTGGACATATTGATGTCCAGCTCTGAAAATCGCTGCTGTGCACGCACCTGGAAAGTCTACACAGCGGCCGGAAACATTCAGGGGAATTTGATCCAGAGAGATAGGGGAACGGTCTTGGCCATGGGTTCCAATCCCAGCATGCCTGGTGGTGACGATCTAATTCAATGAAAACTCTGAAATTAAGAGCTTGCCTAATGGTGACCATGTAAAGTCCCATCTGGTTCACAGATGTCCTGATGGGAAGGAAATCGGCCATCCTTACCTGGTCGTGATCGCTGACTCATGACAACTGACCTCTGCAATGCTCAAAAACCAACCATTTCAAGAGTAACTAGAGACGGGAACAAATACTGCCCTTGTCACCAACGCCCACAATTCCACCTGAGAATTTTAAAACATCTATTTTCCTCCCCTCCTGTGAAAGAATCACTGACAGTTCATTGGCTTTTCTCTCATGGGATATAGGCATTGCTGACAAGGCCAGCTTTTGTTACCCACCTCTAATTGCCCTTGAGAAGTCGATAATGAGCTGCCTTCCTGAACTGCTGCATTCCATTTGGTATGGGTGCTCCCTCAGTACTGACAAATGGGGAGTTCCTGGATTTTGACCCAGCAACACTGAAGGACCGGCAATATGGTTTCAAAACTGGGTAAGAAGTTTTATTTATAGGGGCAGGTATTGCTGGGCAGCCAGTATCCATTGTCCATCCCTAATTGCCCAGAGAGCAGTTAAGACTCAACCACATTGCCATAGGTCTGGAGTCACATGGAGGCCAGACCAGGTAAAGATGGCAGATTTCCCTCCTTAGTCAACCAGCCGGGTTTTTACGACAATAGTTAGCTACAGGGTCAATGTTAGTTATTGTGAATTTTTGTTGAATTTAAATTCCGTCATCTGCCAGGGTGGGTTCTACATTATTAGCCCAGTGATTGACCACTTGGCCACTGTTTCTCCTAAAGGGACCTTGCCGCTAGCAAAGTTCAGTTGTGTGTCTTCTGCTCCTGTCGCTTCTACCCCTGAGAAGAACAGGTTCCAAAGACGTTGTCAAGAAAGGTTTGGCAGGTTATGGCAGCGAGACATCGTTACAGGTCATGACTTTGAAGCATCTGAACCCAGGGCTTTCTGCTTCCGCTACAAACGTACTCAGCACTGAGCCAGGAAAGTGCCATACTGAAATCTATGGGTATGGAAGGTTTGAGTTAGAAAGAAAGGCTGGATAGGCTGGGACGTTTTTCACTGGAGTGTAGGAGGTTGAGAAGTGACGTTATAGAAGTTTATAAAATCATGAGGGGTATAGATAGGATTAATGGTGGGAGTCTTTTGCCTAGGATGGGGGATTTCAAGATCATTTTTAAGGTGAGAGGAGAGAGATTTTAAAAAAGACATAAGGGGCAAATGTTTTACACAGAGGGTAGTTCAGGTATGGAATGCACTTCCTGAGGAAGTGGTAGATGCAGGTACAATTACAACGTTTAAAAGCCATTTGGATAGGTACATGTATAGGAAAGGTTTGGAGGGATAGGGGCCAGGAGCAGGCAGGTGGGACTAGTTTTAGTTTGGGATTACATTCAGCATGGACTGGTTGGACCGAAGGGTCTGTTTCCAAGCTGTATGACTCTATGACAATGACAGCAAAATGAATGCACTTATTATTTGGTGCCAGCAATCTCCTAATATTATGGGGGCCCCATTACACTCCTGGGAGTCAGGCCAGGTACAAATCTCCTCGAAAGGTGGCATTGCCAGAAAATAGCAAACAAAAATTAACAGATATTCCCTTGTTAAGTTATTCTCTGTTGCCAAGGAGCTATCCCAAACAACACCTGCAGAACTGATAGCCCTTGTTTTCACAGCAACTTTTCTGTGGAAGTTTTTGTAGGTTTTCTGTTTCGTTGCAGAATGTTTTAGAAACCGTAGAGGATATTCTGAAGCGTCAGTTTTATTCAAACTCATTTCTTTTCTCAGCTGGATTGCGTGACCTGACAAGGTGGTAGAAACAGATTGAGTAATGTCACAGGCTTAGTAGTGAGCCAAAGACACCCGATCAAATCCCATTGACAGCTAGTAGAATTTAAATTAAATTCCTAAACCTGGAATATGAAACAGAGTCAGTGACAGTGACCGGGACAATCATCTTCAGTTGTTGGAGAGTTCCATCCATTTGGTTCACCAATGCCCTTTGGAGAAGGACATTGTGAAGGGGCAACACAGTGGCTCAGTGATTAGCACTGCTGCCTCACAGTGCCAGGGACCCAGGTTCAATTCCAGCCTCAGGCAACTGTCTATTTGGAGTTTGCACATTCTCCTTGTGTCTGTGTGGTTACCCCCACAATCCAAAGATGTGCAGGTTAGCTATGGGAAATGCAAGGTTACAGGGATAGGGGAGGGGAGTGAGTCTGGGTGGGATGCCCTTCAGAGGGTCAGTGTGGACTGAATGGCCTGTTTCCGCTGTAGGGATTATTGAGTTATAAGGATAAGCTGGGACCTTTCTCACTGGAGCATAGGAGGTTGAGGGCTGACTTTATAGAGGGTTATAAAATCCTGAGGGGCTTAGGTAAGGTGAATTGCAAAGGTTTTTATTTCCCTAGGGTGGGGGAGTTCAAAACTAGAGGGCATTTTTTAAGGTGAGAGGGGCAAAATTTTAAAGGGACCTGAGGGGCAGCTTTTTCACACAGAGGGTGGTGCGTACATGGAATGAGCTGCCAGAGGCAGTGGTAGATGCAGGTACAGTTACAACATTTCAAAGACATTTGGGTAAGTATATGAATAGAAAGGGTTTAGAGGGATATGGACCAAACACAGGCAAATGGGACTAGTTTAGCTTGGAAAACCTGGTCAACATGGAAGAGTTGGACCAAAGGATTAGTTTGTGTGTTGTATGACTATTTGGCTTCTACGTGACTCCAGACCCACAGCAACATAGTTGACTCTTAACCACCCTGTGAAATGGTCAAACAAGCCACTCAGCTTGAGGACAATGATCAAACATACAACAAACTGCTGGTCCTGCCAGCAATGTCCACTCTCCATAAAAAGAATAACAAAAAGGTTAATGTTGCTGAACTTATCGAACGGGGGTCCCACAAGAGCAGGTGGAACATAAAATGTTGTACTTTCCACCCAAATCAGAAACCAGTGTGAGTGGACCATGCTGGTCTTCACACTCCACATCATGCCTCTTCATCCCATACTATCAGTATATCC